TGCCCAGGCTGGCAGCTTGCCTGGCACCACCTAGCAAGTGCTTGGCTGAGATATGAAAGCAGGGGTTTTAATTTGTTTTTTTGTGTGTGGCTCACAGCCATCTTTGCCTAGCTCTTCAACATTCATAGAAGAAAACACAGATAGATAGAGAGCGACAGACAGACAGTTAGATAGATAGACACACACACACACACAGAGATTGTGATAGATGATAGATAGGGAGATAGACACAGAGAGAGAGGGATAGATGATAGATAGAGAGATAGACAGAGAGAGAGAGAGAGAGGGAGGGAGGGAGAGAGAGAGATTGGGATAGATAGGGAGATAGACAGGGGGGATAGATAGACAGATGGGGGGATAGATGATAGACAGAGAGAGGGGGGATAGATAGATAGGGAGACAGACACACACAGAGAGAGAGAGATATTGGGATAGATGATAGATAGGAAGACAGAGAGAGATTGGAATAGATGATAGATAGGGAGATAGACACGGAGAGAGAGAGAGAGAGAGAGAGAGAGAGAGAGAGTGAGAGAGAAGATAGAGAGAGAGATACACAGAGAGAGAGGGGGGAGGGAGCACGGAGAGAGAGAGAGAGGGAGGGAGAGAGAGAGATTGGGATAGATGATAGATAGGGAGATAGACAGAGAGAGAGAGAGAGATTGGGATAGATGATAGATAGGGAGATAGACAGAGAGAGAGAGAGAGAGAGAGAGAGAGAGAGATTGGGATAGATGATAGGGAGATAGACAAACAGAGAGGGAGAGGGAGGGAGGGAGGGAGGGAGAGAGAGAGAGAGAGAGTGGGAGGGAGACAGACACAGAGAAAGAGATAGGGAGAGATGGGGAGATAGACAGGCAGACATAGTTTATTTCAAGGCCCATTTAAACGTCCTCAAAAATTCATCTAAGGATAGACACAGCTAGCCAGCTAAGTCCCAGTTGCCAACCTGAACCACCTGGCTAAAAAGGACCCAACAAGGGCAGTAGCCCACAGTCCTTCCAGATCTGACTCACTTTGAATCCTAGCCTGTACCGTGTTTCCCCGAAAATAAGACACTGTCTTATATTTATTTTTTCTCAAGAAGACACACTAGGGCTTATACCACAAATGCATAGAAATCCTACTAGGGCTTATTTTTGGGGTAGGTCTTATTTTCGGGAAAACAGGGTACTAGGTTCTCTTATTTATTTATGTTAGTGTTCAGGGTGCATGCAAAACCCGTCACCACCCAAATTCTTCCTGGGGGTTGGGGTTCCATAATACTGGAAATATAGCGTAGAGAGGAATTCTTACTGTAGGCATCCAAGATTCTTCCAGAGTTGTATTTCCAGGATGCACTCCCCAAAAGGAGGAAAAACAGAAAGAGAATAAACCTCTTCAGAGCTAACTCTGCATTCTGTAAATGAAAAGGAATAACTAAAGAATGATTTGGCTCCACAAAACATTCGTTTTGCAGGTTTTCTTCGGGTTGCTCTTTTTGTGTTGCTGTAAGAGCACAGCTGGACTTTCCTGCGACATCAAACGTGCTTTAAAATCCTCTTCAAAACTAGACAGTTGTACGCTACAGCTATTAAAACATGCAACAAAACCTGTATTTAATAATAAGTACATAGTTTGGAAGGGCTTTGTCTTCAGTGTTGCAGGGTGCTGTTGTTATGTCGTACATCTTTGAAAAGGCAACAAAAAACAAAACAAACTATTTTTTAAAAAATAAATCTTAAAGGAACACTCTTCTTCTTGGGTAAAACGTATTATTTCAGGTCCCCAAATTCTCCTCTGCAAGACAACTGCCTCAGAAACCAAGCCAAAATGGAAACACGGACTAAGAAGGGGGTAGAATGAAAGGTATGTAAATATTCCTACTTTATAAGATAAGGGTTGTCACTAAAATTTTCATTTCCCTGACCAACATTTGTCAATTTCCCTGACCAACATTTGTCAATTTCCCTGACCACCATTCAAATATAACCATAAGTTAAAAAATGAATAGGACATATTGCATTAATGCAAGGTAAGGTTCCACTCTACAGCTACACAAGTCTCAACTGCAAAAATATTTGTCAAAGACATTTAATGTCAGCTTCTTTCAACATTAGCCGCAGCAACTTCTGTTTTGCAATGGCACCAAAAATGACACCGAGATACAAATTTCAATTCAAGTAAACTCTGAATGCTAACAAATTGACATAACATTTTTGTTCTTGTTTTAAAGGTACACTAAAAATTATATCAACGTTCTATCTAAAACGGTTGGGAAAGGGCATCATTGGGTTCTACTTGTATTCTGCTACTTCTCTATTCCACTTGCCACAAGAACAGATCATACTCTTGCAGCATCAGGTCACTGCTTGAATCCACTGCTTGAATATACTTTAATCACAATTTCCCTGATTTTCCCTGACCAATTTTCATTTCCCTGACTTTCAGAAAGTGGCAACCCTGAAGATTGTCAGGCCTTGCCTGGCAACCAGTAGGGTACCAGAGGGGGGCATGGGGGAGCCACGATCACCTTCAATGAGACATCAGTCCTGGGGAAAACCTGGAAATGACATCACACCTCTCCAGGAAGTGCTGGAAGCTCTATGGTAAAGCCACGGAGCTTCTGGTGATTCTTAGAGAGGTATAATGTTACTTCTGGGCTTTCCCTGGAAATGGCATCAGACTGTTGGCCTGCCAGTCATTTTTATCTCCCAGCTGGCAGAAGGATCAGCTTGCTGGGTGACTGTGGGCCAGTCATACACACGCCGAGCCTAACCTTCCTCATAGGGCTGTTGTAAGAATAAAACAGAGGAGGGGAGACGGATGTAAGTCACTTTGGGTCAACCACTGGGGTAGCAGGAGTTGCATATATGAAGCAAGTAAACAAATGGAGGCCCCGGTCACACGAGCGGGAAAAGGCGCGGGGGAAGCGCAGCAGCGGGATCAGACAGGTCCCCCGAGGCTCTATGCTTCTGCCGGCAGCCGCGATCACATGCTGCAGGGGAAGCGACGCTAAGAAGGCTGAGGAGGGCCAGCCGCAGCAGTTGTGCGCATGCGCAGTTCGCCACTGTTTTGGATTGCTAGCTATGGGGGGGAGGGGAACGTGCAGATCTGCCCTCACAGAGGAGGGAGAGCTTGTATCTGAATAAACCTTGGCCTTAAAGGTGCCACTGGACTGTTTTGGATTGCTATCTGGGGCGGGGGGGGGGCTCTGCAACGTACCTGGCTGCTTCTTGTGCCTTGTGGCCTGGGGCTGTTGGGAGCAGGGGGCGGGGCTTGTTGCATGTGCCTCTGCCCCCTGGGCTCTTTACTGCCGGAGCTCTGCTCCTGTGCACTCCTGCAGGAAATGACCCCTGGTGCCGCCTCTAATTGAACCGGTTTAAAGTGTTGTGGGGCATATCAACCACACAGCACACCCTGCTGTGGGTTACCCACGGAGACATCCCGTGGTCCAGCATCCACATTATTGCAGCGCCTCAGCCACGGAGCACACTGCCAAAAAACTCCAAAATTCATGTGCACACATAGGAGCACATGCATGCGCATATGCACACCTACACATGTGCGCACATGCACATTTAGGCAACTTTTTTTAAAAAAAAGACACCTCCCTAGTGGCAGAATGGATCTGCAGGTTCAGACTGCCAATTCAGTTCTGCACGCGCTGCCCCGCGTTCAGACCTCCGGCCATGCGCGATGACTGCGCGGGGAGCTGAAAACACCACTTGTGATGTGGTGCCTTTTTAACCTGGCTCCAAGTCATCCTGTGACGGGATAAGTATGCCCGGGGAATGCCTGACAGAGGTGGCTGTCTGACTGCACCCGTTTGATCCGGAGGGGAGGAGCGGCTGTGTCGGGCCAAACTGCCCCTGTGATCACGGCCATAGTTATTTTAATCTGCACATTTGATCAGATCCCCAATGGTCAATCAAAAGCCCTGCTGGGGATATGTCAAACAAATGTTGGAAATGTAAAAAGTTGGAGGGCTCATTTTATCATATGTGGTGGACTTGTGAAAAAGCAAAAAGGTATTGGGTGGAGATACATGAAGAAATGGAAAAAATTGTAAAATGTAAATTTAAGAAAGAACTGGAAAAATTACTTTTGGGACTTAAAATGGAAGAAGTTAATGTGGCAAAAAGGACATTGATGTGGTACATGATTACAACGGCCAGAATGACGTATGCTCAATGTTGGAAACAAGATAAAGTGCCTGAAGTTGGGGACTGGATTAAGAAATTACTTTTTATGGTTGAAATGGACAAATTGACAAGGAAACTTAACAATTTGGAAGCAGCGGACTTTTTTGCAGACTGGAAAGATTTTAAAGACTATCTGGAAAAGAACTGGGATGTAAGGGCCGGTTTATTTAGCTTTGATAATTATTGAAAGTTAAGAGATATTAAAAAACAGACTAAGATATATAACCAAAATAGGGAGGGGTAAGTTACCTATAGATATGTGTATTGAAAAATAAAAGGGGGTGATGAAGAAGATCTAAGAATTGAGGAGGAGGTTGGAGCACTGTGGGAAGCTGAGCAGGGGGGGGGGAAAGGGAGGAGGGAAGGGTGTATGGGTACAAAAGTTTGTGATTTATATTTGACTATGTTTATCATATCCTAATAAAATGTGTTTGTTTGTTTTTTTTAAAAAGCCCTGCTGGGTAAGAACCTTGTGTGGCCCCGCTCCCTTTCTAAAAACGCTCGCTGGGCACCAGGAAAGGTATCTCTGGGTGCCGTGGTCCTCTATAATAATTTGTGATAGGACTAGAGATAATCTGAAACAAATCATAGAATATGAGACATGACAGATTAAGCAACCCAGCAAACAGCGTTACATAAGTATAAAAACAATGCCACGAGAGTAGGGTAATTTATACCACTGGGTGCGCGATCTGTAATATGTCACTGTAATATACACACAGCAGACAGACAATACTTACTATACCCTGTGGTAGGGGAACCACCGAAGCCGGCGTAGGTTCAGATTAGAAAGCAGCTCAAATCTCCTCGCCTTACCTGTTTTATGCACTGCAGCCGATCGTTGGTCTGCTGTATGTGCCTGTCCATAGAATTCATTTTGATTGTCTCCCACTTGGATTCTACCTGAAAGCCATTAAAATCCTTCAAGCTGCAAGACATAAAAGAGAGAGAGAGAGAAGACGAGAAAGATCATTAAAGGGAACAAGGGTCAGAGACCGTCTTGCCAAATCCTCAATGAAATGGAAACCTCTTACTCTTTGTGGTAGCAATAGGGACTGTTCTCCGCTTAGAGAGAGGACGGACCCAGTCTTCGGTGCACTGGGAACCAGGGGTCATTTCATAGAAAAAGAGGTGCAGGAGCTCATTAGCATAACTCATTAGCATAAGTTATTTGCATATGCCACACCCCCTGACGTCACCGGAAGTGTGTCAGAAGGCAACACCCACCGCTCAGGCTCCACTGGACTGTTTTGGGTTGCTAGCTATTGGAGGGGGGGACGTGCAGATCTGTCCTCGCAGAGGAGGGAGAGCTGGTACCTGAATAAAACTTGGTCTTAAAGGTGCCACTGGACTGTTTTCGGATTGCTAGCTATGGGGTGGACTCTGCAAGTCACCTGGCTGCTGCTTGCTCTGACTGAGGGCTGCTGGGAGCAGGGGGCGGGGCTTGCTGCATGTGCCACACCCCCTGGGCTCTTTACTGCCGGAGCTCCGCTCCTGTGCGCTCCTGCAGGAAATGACCCCTGCTGGGAACTATGACATTCCAAAGTCACGTAACAGAGGGGGAGCTGTCAACCAACGGGTATCTTGTACTGAGGCTGGTTCTGGATCTCCTTCGCAATCAAGTTTAGGCCATCACTATGATTTACCATGTTTCATAACGCTAGGTTTGCCAACCCCTGAGTTCGGCCTGGAGATATCCCGGAATTACAATTGATCTCTAGATGACTGAGATCAGTTACCCTGGAGGAAATGGCTCTCCCCAAACCCTCCCCCCTCCTCTCCCCAAACCCTCCCCCCGGGGCCCGATCTGCCGGCGGCGGGGAACGGGCCTCTGGGGTGGGGGTTTCCCCGCCCCCCGGGGGGAATTGGCAAGCCTATCTCCAGGCTTCACCCCTAAATCCCCGGGAATTTCCCAACATGGAGTTGGCAATCCAAGATAAGCCTAAGAACCTCCCTCTCTCCCCCCACACTCTTCTTCCTTCTCCCAACCCAGCTATTGGAAGGAGGACTGCCAGGTCCCTTCGAGACGCTGGCAGGGGGGATGGGGGGTATGATCCGAGAGCCGGAAGCATCGCCCCCATAGTGCCAACGTCACCGGAAGCGACGTTCCGCGCTGTGCCTACATCACCCGGAAGTGACCTAGGCACGTTGAGGCAACTGCAACTTGATGCCAAAAAACCCCCTCCCCAACCAAACATATTCTGTATGAGATTTAATACAGACTAAGGTAGAGAATCCAGTCCAAAGCTGGCTAAAGATGTAATGAACAGACTGGCATAAAAGACACTAGATATACTATTAGAAGCGGCGGAAATGGACAAATTAACCATGGAAATGAGAGGTACAAAGAAATGGACATTTCAAAAAACCTGGAAGAGGCTATATGATTGGTACAATGAGAATGGAGTAAAAGATTAAGCTGATATGGCAAAATTAACATTGGAGTGTGTAGCAATATATAATAATGGAACTAGAGAATATTAACAAATGCTAGAGAACAATGAAGCGATGGTGTAGATGTAGTAACAAATTGTAATAAGTCCCTTGGCCTATATGTTGTTTGTTGTAGTTGTTTATGTCTGTGTGTAGGTATATAAGAAAACAATAAATGTGTACTTTCGGGTACTTAAAAAAAAAAGACACTAGATATATTCAACCATCATGTCAATATATTATTGATCTCAAAGTGTAACTGTAAATAACATTATTGTGACAATAAATACAATTAATAAACATTCATGAAGTAATTGTGATTATTAAGATACATGAAGTTATTTTGATCGTTATAAAGTGATGGCTGACGAGAACCTCCGGATCGAGTTCCGTTTCGTCTCTTGGTCTGAACGAACCTTCAATAAGGGCTTCAAACAGTCCTATTATTTTCCTAGCCGCGATTTCTGCGTGTCATACAATCATCTTCAAGTAGTGTTAATCAGTCATTCATCTTCAATATGCACGTTACGTCGGGCGTTCTAAACATCAACCGAAAGGCACCTTCTGGATGCCGTAACTGGGTTCGGACTGGCCAACCTACCACATACTATATATGTTCAAAATGCTGAGAATCCTAGCTGGATTTTTGCAGCACTAAAACAACAACAGCATTACCCCAATTTTTAGAAGGTAAGGGTCAACGTCAAGATTCACAGAGGACATCTGAGTTCTCTGGCATTCACAGAAAATCACTGGCAATATAAAGGGCTAGACCACCTCCAACACACACCATTACATGTTTAGGCTGAATTCACATGTCCAAATAGTGTTTTTCAACCCTTCTAAATCAGTCCATCCTAAAAGAAATCAACCCTGACTGTTCCCTGGAAGGCCAGATGATGAAACTGAAGCTCAAATACTTTGGCCACCCAATAAGAAGGGAGCACTCACTGGAGAAGAAGACCCTGATGCTGGGAAAGATTGAAGGTCAAAGAAGACGGGGACGGCAAAGGATGAGATGGTTAGACAGTGTCATAGATGCAATGAACATGAAATTGAGCAAACTTCAGAGGACAGCGGAAGACCGGAAGGCCTGGCGTGATCTGGTCCATGGGGTCGGGAAGAATCGGACTCGACTGTGCGACTGAACAACAAAAATGACTGGTGTGCACATGTGAAAAACAGAAAGGCAATTCTAAATAAATCTGTTTCCAGGTCAGCTGATGGACATGTAGGAAGGTTGTATCGTTTGCCACCGGCAGCTGTCTTCCCTCACTTTTCGTGACACATGATTTTCTATTTAGAAATATGGGTTTAATTTGGTCAAGGGAAAGATAGAAACACACACGGGGGGGGGGGGAACCCACCCTGAATACAGAGAAGACACTTTAAAGCTGTTAGGGTGGGCCACTCGTGCAAGAAATCTGAAATACCCCCTCAGAGAACTAAATAAATGTTTCTGTATCAGCAGTGGCGATTTGTGCTCTATACTTTCCAAGCACAAGGTGGAGCACGTCATTTCTCAAATAGCAAGCTGTATTTAAATAAACCCCTTCAGAAAAACTCTGGGATAAAAACTCACTCCCTGGTTCGGTTTTTAATTTTTTGGCAGAATATACACAGAAGTCAACTAACTGAATTGTTTTTGATGGGTTAAATGTCCAAACCCGCTTCCTAGTTCCAATGTCCACGTATGACACGGCTTAAAAGGGGGTCAGGGGCAGAGGCTCACCCACCCGCGGGCTGCCTAACAACAGCTCTCCATCATCTCAGTTTAAGGCCCTTCCCTGAACGTTTCCCTCTCCCTTCTGTTGCCGTCTTCCACCGTGGGAAAAGACTCCTTCCGTTGTGCAAGTCCCTTGGTCATCCCTCCTTCCTGCGCAACATTTTTAATTGTTTTTGTTTTGCATGTATTTTAGCTCTGGTTTTACTTGTGCTATTGATGGGGTTGGGGGTGGTCTGATTATTTATTATTATTATTTACTGAATTTCTAAACTGGAGGGCTCAGGGTGGTGTACATCATACTGAAAATGCAGTGCAGTTGAAAACATTTCAGTACAAATGAATTAAATTGAAACCCAACCATCAATTGTGGTTTCCAGTAAACCGGTGGGAAGGGAACAGCATTCCGTGCGCCTTGGTGTTTAGTCATGCCGGCCACATGACCACGGAAACGTCTTCGGACAGCGCGGGCTCTTCGGCTTGGAAACGGAGATGAGCACCGCAACCCTAGAGTCGGATTCGACTGGCTTTCGGGCAAGGGAGACCTTTACCTTTTTAAACCAGTGAAACCATTAACCTTCAGTCCTAGATGGCATTGGTTGCTTTCTCCAAGGAACGGGGTCTTGGGCCGGATGAGATGGAAAAACTGTTCCTGTCCTCAACCATAGGCCTGGTGGAACATCTCTGTTTTACACGCCCCGTGGAGCTGTAGAGAGTTCCACCAAGCAGGAGACAAGGCCGAAAGAGCCCTGGCTCTGTCAAGGATAGCCAGACATCTCTTGGGCCTGGGATCACCAGCAGATTTGGATCTTGTGAGTGTAGTGCTCTTCGGGGACCATATCGGGAGAGGCGGTCCCAGGGCTATTTTTGGGCAGGAACGCACAGGAACGGAGTTCTGGCCGGCTTCCAAGTTGGCCACGCCCAGCAGGAACTCATTAGCATAATAGGCCACACCCAACATCAGAAACCCATTAGGATTGGCTACATTAGGGGTGTGTGGCCCAACATGCAAAGGAGTTCCTGCTACAAAAAAGGCCCTGGGTTTTGACCACAGACAAGGTAAACAGAATAAGAAGCAAAAGGTGGGTGTGGCTGGATGAGCACACTTCTGGTAACATGGGGGTGTGGCCTAATATGCCAATGAGCTGTGCTGTCAGGGGTGTGACCTAATATGCTAATGAGTTTCTGCTGTTGGGTGTAGCCTATTATGCTAATGAGTTCCTGCTGGGCTTTTTCTACAAAAAAAGCCCTGGGTGGTCCTGCAGGTACATTGGACCCTGACGGTTTAGGGGCTTAAAGGTAAAGGTAAAGGTTTCTTTGCTCAAAAGCCAGTTGAATCCGACACTAGGGTTGCGGTGCTCATCTCTGTTTCCAAGCCGAAGATTCAGCGCTGTCCGAAGACGTTTCTGTGGTCATGTGGCCAGCATGACTAAACACCGAGGCGCACGGAACGCTGTTACCTTCCCACCGAAGTGGTACCTATTTATCTACTTGCAATGTCTTGCTTTCGAACTGCTAGGTTGGCAGGAGCTGGAACTAGAGATGGGAGCTCACTCCGTCATGCGGCACTCGGGTCTCGAACTGCTGAACTACCGACCTTCCACAGCCTGCAGTTCAGCGTCTTAACCACTTGAGCCACCGCAGCTCCTAGGGACTTAAAGGTTAAGACCAAAAGGAGATTCGGTACTCAACTGGGAGCCAGTGCAGCTGGCGAAGTACAGGTTGGATGTGTGCTATCACAGGGTTGCCTGTCAGCACCTGCATCGCTGCAT